TAATGTAATTGTTCAGCTCACATGCCTGCCTTTTGTTTGGCTGGAAGCCATAGGAGTGGGTTCAATTCCAGACCTGAAGGGCAGCTAGGGACCATAGTATCAGTGGTTCCATCAGGCTATTTCAGACCAGCACACCTGGTCTTTCTTCTTCTTCTTTTTTTCTTTTAATGATTTTGAATTTTGTTCCAAATAGTTTTCCCACTCTATCCAGGATCTCCTACACAGATCCCCCTCTGAGTGCTTGACAGTGGTAGTTGGGCACCATCTAGTTCTTCTGGTTTTATAGTCATATAGGTTGAGGATCACATGGTGTACCAGTTGCTTGGACTAATTGTGTCTTTGATTTTCTTCCTTCTTTTTTGCTCTGAATGAGGAGAGACCCATTGTTGCATCTAGATGGCCGCTTGCAAGGTTTTAAGATCCCAGTTGCTACTTGCCAAAGTAGGATGGAACAATGTTTTTCGGTAGTATGTTATGCCATTTGAGCTTGATGTCCCCTGGGACTATGGTCCTGAGCCCCAGAGGTCCAACTACTCACTCCCTCTGGATAGCTGGCTGTGGCCAAGAAGTGACTACAGCCTTGTCCCTTGTCAGCTCTACTACATACCTGGGATTTTTTTTTTTTTTTTTTAATGAGTTGAACATTTACCAGAGGTAGATACACTCCCCAGAGAGAACAATCATGGGAGAAGGAAGGGCCATTTATACACTGGGAGAATACCTGGGAATTCTTACAGAACATACCAATATACTGTCTGAAATACACTGAAATATTGTCTTCCAACCCTATACATGATCTTGTGCTCACTCTCCCCTGCATAGACATACCTAATAGTTCAGCCTATCCACTCATCTATCCACCCATATACCAATGTTTGCCTTCACTGACAACACAGTACTATATGTGCAAAAAGGTTCATCTTTGTTGTCTGTACCTCCTATGAACTTCTCTATGTCTTCCTCTGCTTCAGTGCCACCATGTTGATCACTCAGATTTGCTACATTGCCCTTCTCTTCACCTAAATCAATATTCGCTTGCAAATTTTTAAGACCACAGTCACTATTCACCAAAGTAGGATGTGGAACAATGTTTTTGTAGTGTGTTATACCAATTGAGCTTCATGTCCCCTTCAACCATGGCCTTGAGCTCATAGGTCCAACTACTCACTCCCTCAGGGTAGCTGGCTATGACCAGGAAGCCACCACAACCCTGCCCCTTTTCAGCTCTACTATACACCTGGACATTCTTACAGACATGTAGAAACATTGTCTGCCAATCTTACAAATGGTCATGGGCACACTACCCCCCCTGCCTAGACATACCTGACTATTCAGCCTGTCCACCCATCTATCCACCTGTAGATCAATGGTTGTCATTTATGACAATACAGTATTGTACATGCAAAAAGGTTCATCTTTGTTGTCTGTGTCTCCCGTGTACCCCATTATATTTCTTCCTCTTCCTCAGTGCCACCGTGTTGATCACTCAGATTTGGTATATTGCCCTTCCCTTCACCCAAATCAATACATGTCTCTACCTATCTAGCAGTGTTCCCTCCCCGCCGTCCATACCTGGTAACCAACAAAGAAAGTTTTCTTCCATATAGGAACCTTTCCTTGACTTTTTACAATAGTGAACTAATACCATATTTGTCCTGTGATTGACTTATTTCACTCAGTATAATGTCCTCCACATTCATCCACATTATGCAGTGTTTCATGGATTCCACATTATTCTTTAGTGTTGCTCAGTATTCCATTGTGTTATGTACCATAGTTTGGTTATCCATTCTTCCATTGATGAGCACTTAGGTTGTTTCCATCTCTTTGCTATTGTGAATAGTGCTGTGATGAACATAGTTGTGCATATATCTGTTCTTGTCCTGGCTCTCACTTCTTTAGGATATATACCTAGCACTGAATTGCTGGATCAAATGGTATTTCTAATTCCAACTTTTTAGGGAATTGCCATACCAATTTGCACAGTCGTGTCATTTTACAGTCCCACCAGCAGTGTTTGAGAGTCCCAATCTGTCTATATCCTCATCAAGGCAGATGTTCTTAATAGTTAAGCTAAACTAATGTTTGGTTTTAAGAAGACTTCAGGGGATATTTTTGGTTTAAGTTTAAAGGTTATCTCAGGGCAATAGTTTCATCCAGCCTCCATGATTCCAGACAGATTAGATTCCATCAGGATTTGAAATTGTATTCTGTATCTTCCCCCTTTTGATATGAATTCTTTTATGGAATCTTTGATCAGAATGTCTAGTAATGGCAGCCAGGCACCATCCAGTTCTGGTCTCATGACAAAGGAGGCAGTTGTTCATGGAGGCAGTTAACCACACATCAATTTCCTCCTCCTATTCCTGAGTATCCTTCTTCTTAGGTTGCTCCAGGTGAATAGACCAAACTGTTGGATGGCTTGGATGGCTGCTCACAAGCTTTTAAGACTCCAGGTACTACACAACAAACTAGGAAGTAGAACAGAAGCACTACACAAGTTCTTAGGCCAATTAACTGGGTTGAACCATGAAACCATGACCCTAAACCTCCAAACCAAGGAATCAAATCCCACGAGGTGTTTGGTTGTACATAGCAGCCTCAGCAGCTACTTCTTTTGTTTTTGTCATTGTTGTAAATGTATCTATTACACAACTCCTGCCAATTCAACTTTTTACAGGTGTACAGCTTATAAACAGCAATTACATTAATTGGTTGTGCAACTCTGCCCTTAATGTGATTTTTCCTTTACCATAAACAGAAATCCAGCACTCTTTGTACTTCTCCATGAGGGGAGAAGTAACCTCCCTTCTCCCCTCCTTTCCAAACCCAGCAATCACTTATACACTTCAGACATTTTCCTGCACATATGCAGTTTTATTTTTAAATTTTGACTAATTAATTCTTTGTGTTGTTGAGAATATACACAGCAGAATATGCATCAATTCAATAACTTCTACATGTACAATTCAGTGATATTGATTACATTCTTCAAGGTGTACAACCATTTCAGACCTCCTTTTCCAAATTGTTTCTGCCCCCCTGAGTTTCCTATTTAATCTTTTGAGTTAACTTACAGACTTTTACATAAATCAAATACATAATCAAAACCAAAACCCACTATTCTGGAGTCAATTCCTTTCCATAGTGACCCTATCAGGCAGAGTAGAGTTGCCATAGGATTTCCAAGGCTGTAAATCTTTATGGAAGCAGACTGCCATGTCTTTCTCACACTGAATGGCTGGTGAGGTGGTAAGTTCCAACTGCTGACATTTTGACTGACAGCTGAGTGCTTTACCACTGTGCACCAGGACTCCTTATTCAAACCCCCAACGTTTTGGTGAGCATCCAAGTGCTTTAACCACTGGCCACCAAGGCTCCTTATAAAGAACATACACTGAAAATGCACAGCCAAATCAGATAGTGAAAATTATATCCAAATACTCCATTTCTTTTGCTAATATTTAAAATGACTTCTCTAAAATCCAAACCTAACCAAACTCACTGCCATCAAGTCAGTTCTGACTCATAGCAACCCCCACTGGGTTTCCAAAGCTGTAAATCTCTATAGATGTAGATTGCTCCATCTTCCTCCCACGGAGCAGCTGGTGGGTTTAAACCATTGACTTTTTGGTTAGCAGCCAGATAACTTACTCACTGTGCCACCAGAGCTCCGTTCTCTAAAATAATGTGTTGTGAGATTGCCTTCTGTTTAGTGCTTGGGCTCAGGAAGTGTATTCTGGAGTCAGGTGCCTCCTGTGATGGGCCCTGGAAATCCTTGCAGGGCTGAAGAGGTCACCGGGAGCTCTCTGTCATGACTTTGGCATCCCTAGAAACACAATGACAGCCAAAAGGAGTGAGACCAAAGCAGCTAAAGAAACAGGGAGAGTTAGCCTGGTGCACTCCCATAATATCCCCTAACTTTGATTTCCTCTCGGGAAAGCAAGGTCTCCCTGATAGCAGATCTCTAGATTGGCAGTCATCAAAATGGAAGCTTTGACCACGGTATGGCAATTGTTACAATGTCCCTTACATTGATGAAGAATTTTTTTTTATAAATATACTTTATTTTTTAGAGCAGTTTTAAGTTTACAGAAAATTTGAACAGAAAGTACAGAGTTTCCATAGGTCCTCCTTCCCTCTGCACACCATTTCTCCTAGCGTTGTTATTGTTGTTACTTGCCCCCAAGTTGATTCTGAGTCATGGTGACCTGAGGTGTTACGGAGTAGAACCCCTCCATAGGATTTCCTTGTCTGTAATCTTAATGGAGGCAGATTGCCAGGCCTTTCTTCTGCAGTACTGCTGGGTGAGTTCGAACTGCCAACCTTTAGGTTTGCAGTCAAGGGCAAACCATACTTACCACCTAGGGACTTTTTCCTCTTATTGTCAGTTGTTGTTAGCTGTCATTAAGTCAGTCCTCGACTCTTGGTGACCCCATGTGTTACAGACCAAAACTGCCCCATAGGGTTTTCTTGGCTGTAATCCCTATAGAGCAGTTTGCCAAGCATTCTTTCTGCAGAGCAGTTGTGTGAGTTCGAACCACCAACTGTTGGGTTAGCAGCCAATAGGTTTACCCAGGATTTCCTACTATCATTAGTATAGTGCATTTGTTATAATTGATGAATCAAATCAATACATTATTATTAACTAAAATTCACAGTTTACTTTAGGGTCCACTCCTTGTCTTGTACAGTCCTATAGGTTTTGAGACATGAATAATTAATATATCTACCTTTACATATCGTTACATTGCTCTTAAAATGCCCTATGATGGTATATTTTTCAGAGTGTAATTGGTGTGCTTGTGGCAGTTTTGGCTGACAGTTTGCTCAGAAATCTCAGCACCACTGGGAATGTTTGCTTTCCAGAGCCCTAGAGTCTGTCCACCAGTTTTTCCTTAATTGCTTCCTTGGTGTAAACTGTGACTTTTGGCTCGCAACTGGTCTTACGAGGCTTGGAGAGACCTGCTTTTATTTGTTGAAATGTGTTTGTGTTCTAGTTGACTTAACATCCTTTGTGACCCATTTTGAATGGGACATGGCCAAATACCCTGCAAAGCAGCCGCTGGTGACCGTGGTGGACACACTTGCAAAGGTAAGAGAAGGACTGTCTCTTTGTGAGTCTAGTAAACTACCATGACCTGGACCTGGGGCACCTGCCCATCTGTCTTAGTTTCCTAGTGCTGCTGTAACAAATACAACAGTGGGTGGCTTTAATGAACAGCAATGTATTTTCTCATAATTTAGGAGGCCAGAAGTCAGAATTCAGGGCATCACTCTAGGGGAAAGCTGTCTCTGTTCATTCTGGAGGAAGAACCTTGTCTCAGCTTTTCTTGCTTTTAAGCATCCTTGGAGATCTCCATCTGGCAGCTATCTTTCCTGTATTTCTGCTTGCTTTCTTTTGTGCTAATTTGTTCATTTACTTCCCAGAAGTACTTACCTTAAAGCACACCATACACAGATGGCCTCATTAATGTAACAAAGAAGGCTGTTTCCAAATGGGATTACATGGACAGATACAGGAGTTAGGATCTACAATACCATTTTTTGTGTGTGTGTGGGGTGGGGGGACATAATTCAACCCATAACACTATCTGAGATGGACCTACATGGCTTTTGGACTCTGGCACAGCCAAAGAGGGATAGGCTTGTAGCCACAGGCAGGAGGCTTGTGGTCTGGTCCCACTGAGGAACCCTGGGAGGTCCCAACCTCTCATCTCTCACCACCTGCTTCAGCTAGGCCTCCAGGTGGATTTCTGAGGTGTGGCCCCCTTCTATGCCCTGTGGAAGGTCAGTGACCTTGCTTGGGAATTTCCTCTGCTGCCACGGAAGGAACACTGGGCAATCTACTTCCATAAAGATTTACCAACTTGGAAAACCAATGGGGGTCGCTGTGAGTTGGAATTGGCTTGATGGCAGTGGGCTTGCTTGAGCCTTTAGGTTACAGTGCGGTTCCCAGAAACAGTGCAGCTGACCACTTGCCCTCCCACACACCTCTCCTTTCCTTGTGTCATCTGGAGGGATGGCTGTGGTCTGTGAGCCACAGGTGTTCTACACCCAGACCCTAGTGCCCAGTCACTAAACTCTGCTCCATTGTACTTCTTTTTTTAAAAAAAAAACTCAGCCCCACCTGTCGTCTACTCTTGAGAAGATGACACTCTTTCCCCTCAAATGATTATTTACATGACAAAAACTATTTGCTTTAGTAGAGTTTGGCTGGGAGTCTCTTCTGGCACTTTTAAAAGTATGGTGGTTTTAGATCCCTAACTCCTAGGAGACATTTCTGCTCCTACTTATCACCTCATCAAATGAGGACCTGTCCCTCATTTGAGCTACCTGTGGCAACAGTGAGGTCAGTAACTGGTGTCCTGAAAATTCTGTCACATTGGCAAGGAATGACTTGTAGCTTTTTCTCCATAAAAATGGTGCACAATTTTTTTTTTTATTGTGATTTGTGTGAGTTTATAGAGCAAATTAATTTTCCATTCAATAGCTCTGGTACCATAATGCCTAAGGCACTTGAATGCTAACCAGAAGGCTGGCGGTGCAAACCCACCAGGCACTCCTTGGAAGGAAGGCTGGACAATCTACTTCCGTAGTGATACCGCCTCGGAAACCCAAGGAAGGTCGCTATGAGTCGGGTCCAACTCAACGGCACATAACAATAACAAGAGTTCATACACATTTTGTTTCATGACATTGATTGCAGTCCCTATAATGTAACAGCTCTCTTCCCACTTCCTCCCTGTGGTTACCTTTTCCAAAACCATGCACAGTCTTTTGAAGACCATTGTGGATATCTTATTTTTATCCTTACTGAGGGTGGGCTCTAAAGAACATTCAGAGGTTCAGGTCAACCATTTTTTTCTGCCTTACAGCTCTCTCCCTCCCTCCTCCCTCCTTCCACAGTTTACCAAGCCCCTCTAAGTGTCAGGTCTATACTGGCTTGGGGTGGTTGGGTGAGACTCTCTCCTGGGCCAGGAAGAAAGCTTTCCTGCTCTCAGTGTGAATGGGTGGGTCAACAGGAAGGTAATGGGCTTCTGGAACCCATCCCTGTGCAGCTCTGTTTGTGTTCTGAGAGCCAGGTGGTGCCCAGCCTGCCTCTCTGGGAACTTGAGTGGAGCTGGGAGCGTTGGGAAATCTGGGTGGAAGTTTGGGGGGCACAGCTTACATCACATAGTCCTGGGCTCCTCTGGGACAATGAGGCAGTGATTCTGGAAGGCCCTTCAAGGAGGGGTTCCTCAGGTCTGGCTTTCCCAAAGGGTGATGTGCAACTTTACCACTTAACTAGAACTAGTGCCTCAAGGGCAGTCAGTGTGGCTCTCTGAATCTGCTCAGGAAAGCACTGACCAGCACAGCTATTACAGGGATGCTTGACCTCAGGGATGACAGTATCCTAGAATGCATTTGGAGCATTGGCTGAGAGTGGGGAGTGGAGAGTTGTTATGACAAGACCTTGACCGAGAATAGGAGACCTGGGTTCTCTACAGTCCAGTATTCCCAAAGTGTGACTGGCGGGAAGGCAGGGAGGGGCAGGAGGGCACCTGCTGTGATGGCACTGACTGTGTGCCTGGAACTGTGCTGGGTTCCTCCTGACTCCAGGAGATAGGTATCATTTTCCTCCACCTTCAGATGAGGAAGGTTGTGATATGTCCCAAGACATGCAGCTATTAAAGTATCATAATAGGGATTGGAGTTCAAGTCTCTGGGCACCAAAGCTTGTATGCTGGGAACCTGCTCCTTTGAGGCCAGCTGGTGGGCAGAGGCACCAGTGAGTATTGGCTCCCATACTCCATGCACAGGAATATGCTCATGATACCTCTAGCCCTGGGCTCAGGCGACCCCTCCTTGGGTTTCCGAGGTGGTATTTCTACAGAAATAGATCTCCCAATTGTCCTTCCAAGGAGTCACTGGTGGGTTTGAACCACCAGCCTTCTGGTTAGCAGTCAAATGCCTTAGGCACCATGCCACCAGAGCTCCCATTCTCTGAACAGGAGAGCTAAATCTGTTGACAAGAGACATCCTGTCAAACCTCTGAGAAACGATCCCAGAACCAGAATCCTTTCACTGAGAGAGTGTTAGGAAGGCAAAATCATTGCACTGAGGGTCTCTGAGCAGCCTCTGCTGGGTATCTGAGCAGGTCTCCCACACCTGGGAGGAGCTCTCATTTATACAGAGTTTAAGTGTGCAGAGTATGCTCAGGGTTTAGGTCCTTAGATCCTCAAAACAAGCCAGAGTGGTGGGCTGGGCAGAGATGATAATCCTATTTGGGGAGGAGAACGTGGAGGCCCAAGGCCCACATGCAGTCTATGGAACCTAGCCCCATCTGCCTCCCTTAAAAGAGAGCTGTGAGGCTGGTGTTTGTGCTGACAGGAGGGACTCTGTCTTTGTGGGTGCCGGGCCTCAGTCCCCAGTGCTCTGACTCATCCCAGGGGCCTCCAGTTGGCCCTGCACATTACTTGGCATAAAGTGCCCAGCACAGGGCTAGTGATAGTCACCATTGACCAGGTTAGGCTGCAGGTTCAAAAAGCCAAAAATTTCACAAGCTTAATATAGTAACAGTTTATTTCTCAATCACATGTATGCCCACCAATAGTTGGAGGGGGGACTGCTCCATGTTGACCTTCTGGGGAACGAGGGGACGGGACACTGATATTAGCTGATGGCGTCTCCACCACCTGACACATACCTGGTTGCTGTGAGAGGGGAGTTAACACACGGGGTCTCAAAGGTTCTGCCTGGCATACCTGACTGCAAGTGTAGGGAAGCGCAAGCCAGCCCTTCACCTTGTGGGAGGACAACTGGAAATATCTGATGAATGCTGTAATGACTTCAGTGCTCAGTATAGATCTGTTGTATTATTGGCTGGATGCAGACAGTCAGGGTCTCAGTCCTGCTTCCACATACTCCCAAGCATGTGCTTGGTGCACCAATTCCAGCAATAAAGGCAGTCCATCTCTTGTCAGAGGTCAGATTTGTTAAGCAAATGTCTTTCAAGCAGTCCTCCTGCACTACCCGCTGCTGGAAATTACAGAGATGATTAAGACATGGCACCTGTCCTTGAGGAGCTCATCTAATGAAGGAAAGAACTCGCATTCAGAATTATTTCTCCATCTATTATGTTATCTTAAGTCTCATAATTCTGTAGTATAGGCAGTCTTCAGGTTATGAAATGTCTTACTTAAGTACAACCTATAGTTATGAACCAACCTCCATAAAGCCTATTATATTAAAAATTCAAGGTACATAACAATGGATTGTAATAACAAATGGTTGCTACTTTGCAACATTAATCAAAACATTATTATTGTTATTACTGTATTATGCTAAAGCTCTTTAAATGTATCTGGAAGCATTTCTTTAATGTTTTTTATGCATAGAAAGATACTATATAGTATATACTAAAACTAACATTTGACTGATGTTATAACAAATGGTACCTCACAGTTCTGACTTATGTACAAATTGTACTTAAAGGCACCGAACTTGTTCATAATCTGGGGACTGCTGGTACTGAGCTCAGAGAGGTTAACGATCTTACACCTGTTCACAGAGCCGGTAAGAATTGGAACTGCTGTTTAATTTGGGCCTGACTGGTTCCTTCCACTGCTTTACTGGTTTCCAAACTCCCCTCTGCAATTTTTCATTGCTGTGGGGAAATCAGAAGAATAAGGACAATGCAGTAATTTTTTCAGTTGTGTATTCCTTTTTATAATAAACAAAAATATAAATCTTATTTTACAGTCAAGGCCTGTGGTTATGATATTATACTATAACTTAACTTCCTGGTTATGATGTTGTTGTTGTTGTTGTTAAGTGCCGTTGAGTCGTTTCCGACTCATAGAGACCCCATGCACAGCAGAACGAAACACTGCCCGATCCCGCGCCATCCCCACAATCCCTGCTATACTTGAGCCCATCATCGCAGCCACCATGTCAATCCATCTCGTTGAAGGCCTCCCCCTCTTTCGTCGACCCTCCACTCTACCAAGCATGACATCCTTCTCCAGGGAATGGTCTTGATTTTAAACATGTAGTGTCCCCTTGTTCTGTTCGAATGACAGCCTCCTGCTCAAGGTACAGATTCCTCATGAGTACAATCAAGTGCTGAGGAATTCCCATTCTTCTCAATGTTATCCATAATTTGTCATGATCCACACAATCAAATGCCTTTGCATAGTCAATAAAACACAAGTAAACATCTTTCTGGTATTCCCTTCCTTGAGCCAAGATCCATCTGACAACAGCTATGATATCCCTTGTTCCATGTCCTCTTCTGAATCTGGCTTGAACCTCTGGAAGTTCTCTATCAATATACTGCTGCAAACGTTTCTGAATTATCTTCAGTAAGCTCTTACTTGCATGTGATATTAATGATATTGTTCTATAATTTCTACATTCTGTGGGATCACCTTTCTTTGGAATGGGCACAAATATGGATCTCTTCCAGTCAGTTGGCCAGGTAGCTGTCTTCCAAATCTCTTGGCATAACTGAGTGAGTGCCTCCAATGGGGCATCTGTTTGTTGAAATATCTCAGTCGGTATGCCATCAATTCCCGGAGCCTTGTTCTTTGCCAGTTCTTTCATTGCAGCTTTGACTTCTTCCTTCATTACCATTGGTTCTAGATCATATGCCACTTCCTGAAATGGATGAAAATCGATCAGTTCTTTTTGGTACAGTGACTCTGTGTATTCCTGCCATCTTCTCTTGATGTTTCCTGCATCATTCAATATTTTGCCCATAGAATCTCTCAATATTGCAACTCGAGGCTTCAATTTTTTCTTCAGTTCTTTCACTGGTTATGATATTATACTATAATTATGTAAGATGTTATCAGTGGGAAAACTGGATGAAGGGTATGTAGGATCTCTGTATACTATTTTTACAATTTCTGTCAATCTATAATAGTTTCAAACTAAAGAGTTAAAAAACGTACAAAAATTATAAATCATATTTAAAAAGCAAGTATATCAAAATGTAAAGATAAAATTGTTAAAGGCCCCTGTGACCATCTTCCCCAGTCACACTTCTTTTACTTTCCCTAAGGACAACCGATGTTTATGAGTTTGAAGTGGAGTTGTATAATGATATATATCTATACATAGATATACATTAGTTCATATCCTACAGATTTTTCTTTTTCATATAATGATTCTTGAGATATTTCCATATCAGCAGTGACATGCTGGTAGACCAACTCTTCCCAAACGAGGCCCTGATTTGTTGCATTTGTTGATTTCTGTAGTGTAAATACTCCGGTGTCACTGGAGATGGAAATAAGAAGAGAAAGTTAGGAAAAAGTACACAGGATTGGCTTCCACACACCCCTGAATATTAGCAGATATAATTCTATTTTATTCATATAATGGCTGCACAGTATCCCACATAGGGGACATCCTACTTTGCTTAACTAATTCCTTATTAATGGATTCTGCTATTAAAGTATATGTCCCTGGAAAGCAAGGTTTTTCTTTAAGTCACCCACTGTGGCATGGCATTGCTCGTATCATTGACCTCACACAGTCATTTGAAACAGTCCTCAGCCATCATTTATTGAAGGAGTCCAGTTAGTTGCACCCTGTTAGATATTTTTCTTCCCCTTTTGCTAACGCTTCTGTGGCCCCTTCTGGGAAGGGTGGTCTCATCTGTGTTTAGTAGATGGCCAGTCAGTCTTGCTTCCCCCCTCTTTCTACCACTCTGCTTCTGCCTGCCCATAGGAGAGAAATATGGGAATTGCTCTTTAATTGCTAGCACTCAGAACAAGGAGATCCCCTTGAAACGCCAAAATATGACCTGGCTTCAAGCTGAAAGGAGCCTCCTACCTGAATGCAGGGAGGAGGGCTGCAGTGAGGCACAGGAAGGGCACAGAGGCAGGCACTTTGGGAGGCGGAGTCCTGGGGGTCCTATGGAAACGAGAGTTAGGAGTCAGCCTGAGCTGAGCTCTGGAAGGGCCTGAGACAGTGGGGGTGCAGATGGGAGTGGGGGAGCTGTGGGGCTGCTCACATATTACAAGATGGGCTTGACATCAGGAGAAGATTTGGCTCATTGTGTGAAAGCCACTCTTGCTTCAGTATCTGTGAAAAGGAGATATTAATTGTCTCCCTGGCTGCCAACAGGCTTACTGTCAGAGTCAAATACTGGAATGTCTGAGAGCAGAGAAGAGAGAGGCATAAGCCATCCCTGTGCAAATGGGAAGGATTTGCTGTTTTTCTTAAGTGTACCCTAAGCAATTTGTAGCTCATTTTGAAAAGTTCTACCAATTTCTTAAACACTCAAGGTCACCGGAATCTTTTGCTTTTACAAATAGCAACTAGCACAAATCGAGACAGATCTGAAATCCCGAACGGCAACATACAACACTCTGAAGACCAACTTGGAGAACCTGGAGAAGAAGTCAACGTGAGTACACAAGCCCCTCCCTGCAGGGCCATGAGCCCTGACCCCCAGCAGGGCATATGCACTTGCCATTGGGATCGTTTGGTGATCAGGCATCTTCGTCTGTGTGTGGGAGAGTGAGAATCAGTCAGACAGACAGACACTCCTGGCTCGCCAAGATCTGCATGTGGGAGAGAAGGATGTGGACAGCCAAGGGAAGAACTTCCACATGGCCCCTTAGAGGAACAGAAATGCTACTCCTCATTCTATCACCTCTTTCCTTCTCACAGCTCCACCTTGGTTCTTCAGAACACCTAGGATGTGTTCCAAGATCCTTCTCCTGTAGAGGCTTTATAGCATAGGGCAAAGAGGTGTTGGAATCTGGCCCTTAGGGGGAGCAACAGAGGGCAGTGGGGTTCTGTAGTTAAGAATAGGGCAGTTTCAGGAGCTTACATGCCTTCTCCACCAACCTGATGGTCCACCATACAGAAAGGGAATAGACTTGTTGGTGAGGCCCAGCAGACAGAAAGAGTCACCCAGACAGTAGGAGGTGCTGGGAGACAAATATAAACTCAATGTCATGGTGGCAATGACCACCTGTAGGTAATAAGCATCTTCTCGTTGGAGATATATAAGAAGCAACCAGATGAGATCTTGTCAAAAGGGCTGGAAGGTGTTACTGAGCAAGGTAGAGTTGGCATGGATAATATTCACATCTTCCCAGGCTCTGTGGATCTGAAGCTACCCCAGAGAGGGAAGTGACCCAAGGATGCTCAGAACTGGCTTGACCTCATAGTCATGACGGGTTGGCTCACCACTTTTGAAGAAAGGAAAGGGTACCTGAGAAGCCCTCCCACTTCTATTGCTTTCTTCTGAGAGTCACAGGGACAGCTCTCTTCTTGTGAAAAAAGCAAATCATACATCAGTGAAACATTAAAAACTAACGAGGGAAATACTCACTTCAACTAGAAACTTTTATTTGTTTACCCTATTTCACACCAGAACTAAATGGACACAAGCTGAGTTTCACCTCCCCCTTGATCCTACCCCTGTCTTGGGGTTCAGAGAGGATGAGAGAAGATAGGGTGTCAGTGGTCAAGAGTCCTCAATGGTGACAGTGGCATAGACCGATCAAGGCATTGGGCCAGTGGACTACTGGACTATGCAGCCAGTGGGCCATCCACTAGGAGCTCTGGTGGTGTAGTGCCTAAGGCACTTGACTGCTAACCAGAAGGCTGGCAGTTCAAACCCACCAGCCACTCCTCAGAAGGAAGGTTGAGCAATCTACTTCCATAGTAATACCGCCTCAGAAACCCAAGGAGGGTTTGCTATGAGTCTGATCCAACTAGACAGCAGTGCATGCGGGCCATCCACTCACCTCAGCATCAAACAGTAGACATCTTAAGAATTGATTGGGACTCTAGAAAACATCCAGTCTAACTAGTGAAGAAGTTCATTTGTTCATTTACTCACAGTAACATTTATTGATTTATTGAGCACACACACTGAGTAGAAGATTAGGGATACCAAGAGAGGCAAAACAGTCCCCCTCTTCTGCTATTCCTTTTCTTTTTTTTGATAATGTTTGATAAATGTTTATTTGGGACCTAACATGCCCTCAGGCCTCATGCTGGGCCCTAAAGATCCAAAGCAGAGTAAAAGATAATTTCTGCTCCTGCAGAGCTCACAATTATTCATTCAACAAGTGTTTAGAGAAAGTCTTCTTTGTATCCTGTCCTGGGGATTCAGAGGTAAATTAGACAGATAGGTCTAAGAGTAAAGGACATTGTGTTAGTGCTAGGATAGAAAGGATTGCACATGGTACCTATAGGGAGGGACCTAAGGGATTTACCAACAAATTGCTTTTTAAAGCTTTGACTTTAATTGATTGAGAACTATTCACATTATGAGTAGTGGGAAGCCTTGTGTGCTAATCTCACTGCCTTTTTGCTAATGTTGGCTAGCAGTTCAAACCCACCAGCCACTTCTGGGAAGGAAGGTTGGGCAATCTACTTCCATAGAGATACTGCCTTGGAAATCCAAGGAGGGGTCACTATGAGTGGAAACTACTGACTCGAATCTACTCGACAGCAGTGAGTTGTTTTTTTTTTTTTTAATGTGATAATGATACACAGTCTTGATAGTTTTACCTTTGCCCATTTGCTAATACATGTTAATAATACCCTGATGCAAAACACATCTCCAATGAGCACTTAGAAAAGCTATTTCAGGTAAGACCTATTTCTACTGGACCTGAAAGCCTGTAAAGTGAAACGAAGCTATATCTGGGTCTATCTCTGCCAATGATGGGCCAGGCAGCTTTCTGAGCCAGCGCCTTGTTGACATCAAGCAACTTAAGCTGCCTGCCACCCGTGGTGCTCTTCCAACAGCCGGTGGCTTGCATAGGGGCAGAGCAGGTCACTGAGGTGTTGGATTCAGCAGCCCCTCCAGTGACTAGTGATAATACCTGAGGCCCTGCCAGTCCCCTGCCTCTGGAGGGGAGGAGGTAGCAGCCTGGCTGTGCAGAAACAAAAACAGAGACCAGGGAGGTGTACTCAGCCCAGGGTCCAGGGAGGAATAGTCATTTATTAGTGAGTTCCAAGGCTCCTCACTTTATTCTTCTAGGTTCCAGCTCCCATGGCACCCCTGTCCTTCTTAGGGAACATGCCTGAGACTTCCTGTTTCCTGTCTCCCTGCCTGAATGTTGTGGGTATGTCTGAGAGTCAGTGTATTCTGCAAACACAGGCCCACAGTGTCCCCTTTTGCCAAATGCTGGTCACACCCTATTTGTTTCAAATGGATTTCAGGGGCAACCTCTTCACTCGGACACTGTGTGATATTGTGAGCAAAGAAGACTTTGTGTTGGATTCTGAATACCTCATCACACTTCTGGTCATTGTTCCCAAGTAAGTGAGGAGGAAAGTAGAGTGTATTGGTGTCTGGGCCTGTATTGTATGCCCAGTGGAGGGAAAGGTTGGCCCAGTCCCTGCTGACCACCAGCCACTTCCTCTTTGGTGATTGGCCCTGGCCTGGGAAGATCCCAGTATAGACGCTTCAGACAGACAGCCCTGTGTGGTGGCCTCCAAGTGGCAACTCTGTACCATCAGTAGTAGTGATGGTGGGCTGGTGGTAATGGCAGTGATAACACAAACCATTTTGAGCACCTGCTACATGCCATCTTGTAGACATTATTCCATTTCATTCTCACTGCTACCCTGTGAGCTATATTATTATTTCCATTGTCCTGAGGCTAGAGAGGTCAACTAACTTGCCCAAGAGGACATAGGGCCTGGATTAGGAAATTGATGAATGTCAGGCCTCTAAGCAGGTATCTATAGCTGAGCTCCTCACACAGGCTAAGTGCAGGGCTTCAAGAGGCCTTCTCTCTTCTGTGGGGACCCTGAGACCCTTGCTGCCCACTGGACCCAGGCAGGGCTGGGAAGGGAATTCCCAGTGCCCATGGCAGGACTTCGGGCTGTTTGGGGCTCTCTATTGTCCTAGTTTTGCTCATCATCAGTCTCTTGGGAAAAGGGGTGTACAGCTTCTTAATGTGTAGGGACAATGAAAAGCCTATACATACCATTCTGTATATTCTCACAGGCCAAACTACACACAATGGCAAAAAACCTACGAATCTCTCTCGGACATGGTGGTGCCCCGGTCAACCAAGTAAGTGAGACTCAAACTTGGTCCTAGTGGATAGAGTGGGAGAACTATGTGGAACAAAACTCAAAATCAAAGGACCAAGTTTTCTTGACTGATAGAGCCTGGTGAAACCCCTGAAACTATAACCCCTAGCTGCCATTCAGGTCTGGAATTGAACCCACTCCTGTGGCTTACAACCACACAAATCAGGCATATAAGCTGAACATTTACATTACATAGATACACTCTTTGGAGAGATCAATCATGGGAAGATAGAGGGGCTGTGCATGCACAAGGAGACAGCTTGAGGGGCAGGAGTGCATGGGAGGGAAGGACACAGGGAAGAGGTAACTATAGGAAGGAAGTAGGAGGGGAGATGTTGCATTGTGGGAAATTGTAGTCAATGTCATGAGACAAAGTATATATGAGCTACTGTATGGAACATGACTTTGCTCTATAAACTTTCATCCAAATCACAATGAAAATTAAAAAAAAAAACCCACACAACTTCATCCTTGGTCTCCTTGGGGAGCAAGTGTGGGTGCTCTGGAGGCATCAGGGAATGCAAGACCCTCAACCACCAGACACTGTAGTTCTTTCTCTGTTCCACTTTATCCACACGCCAAACCGCTTCATCGGTCAAACATTACCCTTCTCTTCCTCTGGGAAATTGCCCCCAGGTCTGCAGGCTGGCAGGGCCCTCCTCGGTGCTCACACAGTCCCTGGGCTCATTGCTTATGGTGCCCTCAACCTTAATATTCTTGGGCTTGGCTTCTGATTGTTCCCTGTCTTGGAGGTCCAAGCAAGGGCTGTTTTAGTTCTCTGGTGCTGCTATAACAGAAATACCACAAGTACATGGCTTTAACAAGCAGGAATTTATTTTCTCACAGTTAGGAGGCTCGAAGTCCAAATACAGGGTGCTGGCTTTAGGGGAAGGCTTTCTTTGTTCACTCTGGAGGAAGGTCCTTGTCTCTTTGGAGCTTCTGCTCCTGGATGATCTTCATGTGACTTGGCATCTCTATTCCCCCATTTCTGCTTTTGTTTGCTTGTTTAATCTCTTATATCTCAAAAGAGATTGATTTAAGACACATCGTACACTAAGAGAAACACCCTACTCAGGCTTGTGGTGACCTCTGGGGCAGAGAGGGAGATGCAGTCAGGGCCACATAGAGCTCCTCACCTGTATGAGTATTGTTTTATATCTTGAACTGTTTTATATCTTAACAATGTATCTTTAACTGGGTGGCTGATACATGTTGTATTGTGGGGTGCTGTGGAGTCAATTCTGACTCATAGTAACCCCGTGTGACAGAGCAGAACTGCTCTACAGGGTTTTCTAGGCTGCAATCACTATGGAAACAGATCCCCAGGTCTTTTTCCCATGCATGGAGCCACTGCTTGGTTTGAACTTTTGGTTAGCAGCCAAGAGCTTAACCATTGTGACATCAGGACTCCTTATGCTGATACACAGGGTTCTGCTGTTCTCAATACTTCTTTTCTTGAATACTTTATTGTGGTTTGGGTGAAAGTTTACAGGGCACATTAATATTCCATTCAACAATTTATACATTTTGTTTCATGACATTAGTTGCAATCCCCTCCATGAAAAAGCACTCTTCCCATTTCCTCCCTGGGTTCCCTGTTTCTGTTTGCCCATCTTCCCTGCCTTTTCCTCCCTTCTGAGCTTTGTTTTTGGGAAAGTGCTGCTTTTCTGATATTGTATGGTTGATTGTTCTGAGGAGAACATTTCTCATGAGTGTTATTCACTTTAGAGGCCTCAGTACTTTTTCATACTTATAATTTAAAAAAAAAATTTTTTTTTTTTTTGTAACTTTCAAAATGGATCTCAGTGCAATCCTTGCCCATTCACCTGCCCCACTACACAGGGAGAGAACTCAAAGCCATCCATGCCCCAGGCCTCTGCCCTGGGGCTCCTGCTCGCAAGGCCAGCTCTCCCAGGGACACTAGCTCCCAGCAGAGAGTAATCAGGAGCTACATCGAGGGGTGCCAGGAACAGGACAGTCATAGCCTCAGGTCACAAGGGGGCATCTGGAGGAATGAGCTAGGGCAGCCAGGTCTTCAGGGAGGAGAAGCATCTATAGTGAGGTGAGAGCTGGCCCATGAAGGCTAAGGAAATGCCAACTGCTCTCAAATGTTGCCTTTCTGTCACCAAGCACTGACCCCCAGGCCCTGTTGTTGTTGTGGTTGTTGTTGTTATTGTTATGTGCTGTCAAGTCGGACCTGACTCATAGCAACCCCTCCTTGGGTTTCTGAGGCAGTATCACTACAGAAATAGCTTGCCCAACCTTCCTTCTGAGGAGTGGCTGGTGGGTTTGAACCCCCAGCCTTCTGGTTAGCAGTCAAGTGCCTTAGGCACTATGCTACCACAGGCCCTAGTTCTCTTTATTATCAGGGGGACCTGAGAGTCCTGATGAGGTGACCCTAAAGGGGTCTCTGGAGACTTTCAGGTAGCCCCTATGGGAGTGGCTCAGAGAAAAAGGAAAGGTCGACCGGTCAGGATGCCCAGGAGACCCCTTCTGTGTGCTACAGGGCTCAAAGGCCTATAAACCATTGACCCCCAACAACTCTCATGAAGTGCAGGGAAGACGTCTCCAGGGACAGCAACTACAGTGGTCCTGTGGTGAGGTATGCTAGGGAGGCTATGTCTAATTAGAATATTATTCCATTGAAAGTAAAATAGACCATGTGGAATGGTTTCCACCAACTGGAAATCTGCCTAGCTTCATTAGAATCACAGCATGTCCGAGCTGGGACACACCATTTTACAGATGAGATGACCAAGGCCCAGGAGTAGCCTGCCTAGGCTCTCATAGGTTGAGATGGATGGGCTGGGGTTAAAATTCTTTGCACTCTCAGTTTCAAGCCTTTTTCTCTGTATTTAGGGACCTGCGTTTAGATCATTTGGAGGCCCCTGAGAACTTAATCTGGAGGGGTGAGTGGAAGGGGCAGGAAAGAATGGGAAATGGCAAGAAGCCAGGAGTTAGAAAATAATAGAACACACTCTTGGTTACCAGCCCTCCCCTGCTGTCAGGGCTCCTGGGTGTAGGCTACGAGGCTGACGGGGAAGTTGACCTCTAGTACAGGCTGGTCCGTGGTGGCCCCAGTGATTAGTCTTGTGAAAAATGTTTCTCTCCAACAGATTGATTGCTGAGGACAACGAAGGTGGCCTTTTCACTGTAACTCTGTTTCGAAAAGTGATTGATGATTTCAAGACTAAGGCCAAAGAAAACAAGTAAGCAAATAAGCACTTTGGAGGCTTCTCTGGATTTAATTTTTCTCCACTTGGGCATCTCTGCTCACCAGATACTTCCTAATGAAGATCTTTACTTGCTTATTTTAAGGTTCACTGTCCGTGACTTTTACTATGATGAAAAAGAAATTAAAAGGGAAAAGGAAGAGATGAGCAGATTGCTGTCTGATAAGAAGCAACAGTATGTGAGTATCTGAGAATGGCTGGCTGGATTTTTATACAAGATGTGGAGCAGGGGCCCCCACACCAGCATTTGCCTGGGAAGAGACCTTCCTTGTCCCCAGCTTCCAACCCCCATTGTCCCCACTCCCTTGGGCTCACACCCTGCAGGCCCATCTGCTCTCCTTGGGCCACCAGAGCAGGGTGTGGGGAAGGGGATGATCAGCACAAATAATTGTCAAGTCTGAGCAGAACCATGAGCCAAGCACTGTGCAAGACACTTTCCATATATGACCCCACTGAGTCCTAAGGATGACCCTTTGAGGAAGGGACTATTAACCCCAATTTGCAGGTGAGGAAATTGAGGCTCTGAGAGGTTAATTAATAGTCTTTCCCCTGGGTCAAGGACTCTGCCTTCCCCTCATCTGAGGTTAAGCAGTGCAAGTCTGGGGCATCCGTGCTTATGAGTCACGGAGTCCCTGCCTGGGAGAGTGCCACTAAACACTCAGTGCCTGTCTTCAGAGATGTGGCTTCTAGGGAGTGGCACTAATGTGACATTCTCTATCACCGGCATCTGTATTTACCTTCCCTATGTTCTTAGCAAAGAGTCGGTGCTTATCTGTGCAACTTCCAACAACAGCCACTAAGAAACTTTATTTAAGCGGGCATCTTAGTTCAACAGGGATAAAATCAGACTCATTTATGAAATATGAACAGTGTAGCCTTGGGAAGGTCCCTCTACCACTCTGTACAATAGGGACATTCAAGACTTAGTGTCCCCCAGCTGCAGAGCTAGTCTAAGCCAGGTGACTGGGGGAGCCTGTCTGTGAGGAGTGTTTTCTGGCCCCTCTCACTCATCCTCACCATCGAGGCTTCTGTGGAGTGCCTTCCTGTTGAAACTATCGCTACAAAGAGGAAGGGAAGAATGAGTAGAATGTACTTCAGGTCTCTTGGAGAAAAGTCTGTGTATAAAAAATGTAAAGCTGTAAGTATGTGCTTGAGGTAAAGAGCAGTTGGACAGCAGATTCAGACCCAAAGTGCTTTTTACATGGCTGTTTGTTTGTGGCCTTCTCTGAGATCTGATGGGATGGCCCGGGGTGTTCTGCACGTCCAGTTTGACCTCTCTCAGCCAATGGCCCTTCTCCCATCAACTGTCCACCAGGAGTGAACACCAGCCATGAAGCCCCCAGATGGGGTTCTCATAGAACCCACCTGGACTAGCTATCCTCCATTTGAGTAGAAAAAGACAACTGATAACATAAAAGTTCATTTCAGGAATTTTAGACTCTTGGTGATGCAGTGGTTGCTAACCAAAAGGTTGGCAGTTTGAACCCACCAGATGCTCTGAGGGAGAAAGATGAGGTAGTCTGCTTCCATAAAGATTTACAGCCTTGTTGGGGAAGTGTATAGACCCTTCCTGGACAGAAAGGACCACCTACACTGTGTCAGTCCTCAGGGCAAGCTGCTGAGAGCAGTGGCCACAGATGCCACAGAGCAAGGCAGGAAAATGGTCTGTGACATTGTAGAATGGTGTTCAATGATGAGGGCTGAACCCCAGTGGGTTTTCTTTCTCAACTTCAGCTAACTTGAAAGCCTAATGACCTATGAAGTCTCCAGACACTCTCTTTAATTGAAGCTCTTCCTTTGTTGCTTTATCTTGACCTCAAGAGACCCCTATAAGATCTCTGTGTTGGGAACCAGATAATATAGCTTTCACATGTATCTGGTCTGGGAGATGCTGCCTGCAGGACAGGCGGTGAAGTAGGGCCTTTGACACTCACCTCAGACCCCTTGAGGATCAGGGTGATACATAAGAGTCTCACACCTGCCACCTGGGTCTCAGATGTCCAGCTGCTTTCTTCCCCCCAATGTGGTATAGACTTCGGCACTTCCTGCCTCTACCCTGGAAAGCCCTTCCAGGGTCTATTTGTGATGGGAAATGGAGTTCTGAAGGAGACAGAGTAACTCGGAAACACTGAGTTCCTCACAAGGCTGTCACTGTGTGCCCGTGAGCAGAGTCCCATGCTGGGGTCAACTGGGGTCAGCCCTTGGCCAGGCTTCTTGAGAATCTCTTTCCCTCTCTAGTCTTTTGGAAGTGGGTACCACCAAGCTTCTCGCATCCTTTTTGTTACTTGTCGCCCAGAAGGGGTGGGGATGGGTCTGGGTTCTTAGTTCACTTTGAAAGCAAAGGGTGGAATTTTCCTCTGTTTTCCACCTGTTGGCAGAGACAGAATGCTAAAGGCTGAAATGTCCTAAGAAACACGCCTAACTGATTTTCTGCACGTAACTTGCTTATTAAGTGCATCAGTGAATACCAGGGAGGCTCTGTGGACATGGTGAAAGACATCCTGTCTAAGCCAGATAAATGAGCTTTGCAGGCAGGACTGTTTCCACTCACCACCTCTTGGTGCTGTCCTTGTCTGCCAATGGAGGTTCCCAACAAGGCTAGGTGGTGGTGGTGGTGGGGGGTGGGGTGGGGACTTACTCCCTCTGCCTGTGATTGCCTTTGTCTCTAGAATATAAAACCCCAAGACTAACACTCCCCAATGGGCTCATGGCCACTTACCAAATCTCCAATCCAATCATGGTACTGAGTCCTTGGGGTTGGCCAGAATCCCTGAGCTTGCTTCACGTGCTTTTCAGGCGGTGAGAATTATCTCTGTTTGTTTGTGATGCATGTTTGCTGAAAGATTAATAAATCATTTCTGTGCCTTTAGCAAACTTCCTGTGTTGCTCTTAAAAAGGGATCATCTACCTTCCCGGACCACATGGTTAAGGTAACCCCGCTAGGTAACCCTGATAGGCTCGCTGCGGGGCAGACCGACAGAGAGAGAGAGAGTGAGGGCGAGGGTGAGGTAAGCAACTCCCCCGGGAGCCCTGGGGTGCCCTGGCTCACATCCCCTCCTCATTCAGGCATCTGTAACTTCTGAGACAGCTCACCCTTGCATTTTCTGTTATCCCATATGGCTTTTGAGGTCTGAAATTCAAGAAGCCCACAATCATGGCTTCCTCCTTGTCTGCAGGGCCTCTTTGGAACTGTCCCTTCCTCTCCAATGATGAGTGCTTATCAGCCAGGGTCCCTCTGCCCTGGCTGGAGGTGGCTGCAGCTGGTGACGGAGCAGGGCCCCTGGCTGGGGGTGGTGGTCGGGCAGTTCAGCTCTCTTCCTTCGGCTGCCCTGGCTGGACCCTCACCCCTGACCTTTGCGGGCAGTTGGAGGTGTCAGGTGGGAGGTCAGAGCTCTTATTGGAAGACTATGAATTACCCCAGAGGACTGGCCACACCAGCATTAGTAACAGCTCCTGTGGCCCTGAGGTTTGTGAACAGGTGAAGTGGGGGCTATGAGGGGCTCCCTGAGAAGCAGGCAGTTGGATGATGCCAGGACCCAGGGGACCATTGGGCTGCTGGCTCTGCGGTAGGCTCCTTGACTGGGCAGTGTCAGATGGAAGCCTGTTAGCTGCCTGCTGAAAGCCTTTGAGGTCAGGGGGCTGCCCAGCCCTGCCACCCTGGTTTGTGGTGGTACCACGCATGTGCTGGGTGGCTGGGCTGCTAAGCTTCTCCAGATCAGGGCCTGGATAATGTGATCCTGAGCCTTGCCCAGGGTGTGTCGGACAGACTCCTTCCTCTCTGCTTCTGCTGGCTCCTGGGCACTTCTCCTCAGTTCAGGACTTGGTCTGTCAAGACCCACATCTTCTTGGCCTGGGCCTCATGTGGAGGGTGAGGAGTCACCAGGCTCTCCTGTCTCTGCAGGGCCCCCTGCTGCGCTGGCTCAAGGTGAACTTCAGTGAAGCCTTTATTGCCTGGATCCATATAAAGGCCTTGAGAGTGTTTGTGGAGTCTGTGCTCAGGTGCGTTAAGTTGGCATCCTCTGATCTAGTTCTCTCCTGAGGGTGGGGAGGGTGTCCTTTGCCTAGTAGGTGCCTGCTGGGGTGGGAGCTCCTGCCTTGCCCTCCCTTCCCTGCTGCCCCTTCCTTGTGCTCCTGCCTCCTCTAGACCTTGCCCGTCCATCCTGTCCTCTCCCATCTGCATCTGTGGCTTGTTCCCTCCTGGCTCTTGGAAACATGCTGGAGTGTCCCCAACCCAGCTAAACTTCCCCTCAGTCGGCCTCCACCCTGCTCTTCCAGTGCTTCTTTCGTTTCCTGTGGTCAGTACCCTCTGCCACTGCCTGGCCTCTGATTCCCAAGGGGCCCTTTCATACCCCTCCATGCAGACTGCCAGCCTCTCTATGGGTCTAAGACAGGCTGGGGTTGTTTTAGCCCTCAGCCTTCAAGGCCCCATTGCAGCAGGAAAAATAAAACCAAAACAAAACCACTATAATAAAACTTAATTTGATTTTTTTTGTGTTAATTGTTGTTAAACAAACGCAAAATAGGTTTACTGTAGAAAAAATTGGAAACTATAAAGCAGAAAGAATGAAGAAGTCACCTGCCATTTTAACACCAAGAGAAAACACTGCTAACATTCTGATGTGTACTCCTATATATATTTAAAAATTTATAGTTACACATTGGACTGACTGGATAATGTTTTGTTCTGTTGTAGATAGGGCCGCTGTGAGTTGGAGCCAGTCACCACCACCTAACAACAATAACATAGTTATATGTTATTTTCACTAAAATGGAATCAAATGGGACGTATTTTTTTGGAGCCTGCTTTTCTGTCTTAATAGCTATCCTATGAACATCCACTGGGCCATGAAATATTTTGGGGTCTCTGCAGCCTTGCACATGCTGACTGTACCTTTCTTCTTGAGTGTGCCCTCTCTCTAGGTTTCTGCAACCCGTGCTCTTCTGGTGAGGCCCCTCTGGCCCCTTAGACTGTCTGTATTGATCTTCCCTGGCTTCTTGCTACCTGCACTGAACACTGCCTCACAATCTCCAACTGCCCATCTACCTGGTCATTGGCCCTAGTGGCATTTTCTTGCCTATGTCTAGGTCTCCGTCTGCTGCCATTTATTTGCCTGTAGCCTGGACCTGGATATTTGGCTCATTTTCCTTTCCAAGCTCCTTCCTCTTGCTTCCATGTTACTGCCAATGGCCCTACCATCCTTCCCATCACCAGGCTCCAAACTTTCGTATCTGCCCCCTCACCCCAGCACACCCCTCCATAAACTTTTTTTTTTTTTGTTTTGCCTTTGCTTCTCTCTTCTATGTCTATTTGTCTCCTTGCCCAGCCTGTGTGGCTGTTGCCATAAGGCCTTTACTGGGTTCCCTGCCTCTAATTCATCCTTCACATGGCTACCAATGTGTGTGTGGTTTTGCCCAGATATAGATCCTTTTCTCTGCACTCTTCACACACATCATATTACATCTTGCCTGTAATGGCAAGGGTTGCTGTACTGGGCTGAAATATGTACTCAAACTGGAGTACATAATGGGCCCCACCCAGATAAACTCTGCTTGCTTCAAAAATCAGTGGTACTCAAGGCCCAAGACAGTGTAGTCTGTCTCCCAGGATGCCCGTTTGCTAAAGAGAGAAGTAAAGATGTACATCATTAGTGTCTTGCTTAAGCTCAGTGTTTTCCCCAATGAACATATGAAAATACTTTTTAAAGCTAACAGTTTATAACATTTTTTACTGTATCTTTATTTTTCCTGAATAGAGATGTAATAAACACTAAAAATTTCAGGTTCAGAACTATACACTGTGGAAAGTTCAAAGGTCCTGGTGATTCCACTCCTCACAGATAATCATGGTTAATGGTCAGGTGCATTTTCAAGATCCTCTTATTCTTCATATGGGATCATTTATATGTAATGTTCTGCAACTTGCTGTTTTCCTTTGCTTTGTATTGTACTCTCTCATATCAGTACATGTAGAGCTACATTGCTCTTTTTGATGGCTTTTTCATATTCCATCATATGGAGGTACAGTAATCTAAGAAAACAGATGTTGAAACAGTAAGTCTATGAGAGCAAACAGATAGGTAAGGAGAAGTAAAATTCACCAGTTTATCTGTGCCTCTCACCTCCCATTAGTCTTTATTTAAAATAATTTATTATTTTTCTTGTTGAAAATATATACATATAGTACACCAAATCAACGTCTACACACATATACAGCTCACATCAATAATTTCTACATACAATTCAGTGACATTGATTTGTCCCTCACTTGTCACTGTCTTCATCTCAAAGTTGTTTTTTTTCCCTACCCAGGGGAGGGGTCTGACTCATCTCTCCACCTTTGTCACCCAGCTCAGGTTGGACAAAGAGTAGGTGCGAAATGTTTGACAGAATATTATCAATGTGGAGATTGTGGATAGAGTGGGAGAACAATGTAGAACAAAATTCAAAACCATAAAAAAGACCAAGTTTACTGGTCTCATAGAGTTTGGTGAGACCAAGACTACAGCACCTTGTTGTTACCCTTCAAGTCTGGAATTGAACTCACTCCCATGGCTTCCAGCCAAATAGACAGGTATATAGGGTGAACATGTACACCAGGTAGGTAAACTCCTTAGAACAATCAATCGTGGGAGAACAGAAGGGCAGTATAGTATTTGCACAGGGGAGCAGGAGTGCATAGGAAAGGACATAGGCAAGAAGAAACTACAGGGAGGAAGTGGGAAGAGAGCTGTTACATTGTGGGAAATCGCAGTCAATGTCATGAAACAAAATGTATATGAACTGCTTTATGGAAAATGAATTTGCTGTGTAAACTTTCACTCAAATCACATTTAAAATATATATAATTATCAATGTGAAGTGGACATGGACTTCAGTTTGAAGATGTGTTAGTTCATCCTCATGGATGAAGTGAACCAGGTTTTTAAATTATGCAAGAAGAAAATGGAAATAGGCCCTGGGTGAGTGGTGGGACTATGATGAATTTCCTGCTTCCTCCAGGTGTAGTCTACCAGGTAGCAAGATAATTATGTCTAGGTACCTGAAGAAGGCTTAGTGGAACAGGTATTAGGGAGTCATCAGTTATAAGTAGCAAAGCCATGCATGTGTGTGGATAAGATCCCCCAGACACAGTTAGTTATACAGAAGGAAGAGTGCCTAAGAGGAACCTGGGGGGCTCCACCATTGAAGGCGTAAGTGGGGGTAGGTAGAAAACTCCTGAAGAAGTCACAGGAAGGAAGGTACCAGGAAGCCTACGCAGGAAGGCATAATCAAGAGTCAAAAGTAGCAAAAGGTTGATTTTAAACGTCCCTTGGATTTGGACATTTAATAAGTCATTGGTGATCTGTCAGATCATTTTCTGTGCAGTGATGGTAGTAAGCAACTATAGTGTAGTGACTGAAGAATGAATGAGATAGGCCATTTGATACTCTCAAATTTGCTTCTAGAGAGAGTGTGAGAGCTCTAGGAAGTTGAGGAAGTTTATTCTAAATCTCAAGATTGAGCATGTTGGTAGCATTCAATGATAATGCTAAAGATTAAAGAGATTGAGACTTGCAGCAGAGATATAGGGTATGGCTACAAATTGTCTCGGTAATGGGATACAAGTTGCAGACTTCCCATCAGATGACCCCAGCAACGAACTAGGAGGCAGGATCCTCGGCTAGGCAATCTAGGAAAGGAGTACGATGGGGCCAAGGCTTACAGAGAGTGGGGAGAACTGACCAGCCATTCCTGGCAGTCATGTTCTGAGCAAAAGTGATGTGTCCTTTGAATTGCTCCAGAGGGAGGGTTAGCAGGACCAGTGCCATCAAGAGAATGAGTTAAGAACTGGAAGGAGTTTGGAAAGGGTGGGAAGCCATGAAGCCAAGAGCACAGGGCTGAGAAAGAGGTCAGGGACGTGGAGGTTTGATGATGGGGACACCACCACCCATTCAGTCAACATTTTATTAAGTATTTATTGAGTGCCTATTATTCACCAAGGACTGGGGATGTAACAGTGAACAAAACAGATGCATGCTTCTGCCCTCAAGGAGCTCACAGACTGGTAGAAAGGAATGCTTTAAAGACCAGAGGCCTTTGTTCAGGGAGAAAGATAAGCAATCTCTCAGAGCCACTTGGGAATGACTATGATCGACCAGGTTGGACAATGACAAAGGAGTGGCAAACTTGAGCCTTTTAAAAGGAAGATTTTTGTGTCCGGGTAGCAGAGTGATAGCAGAGCACTGGTAGGTTTGGAAGGAGCTCAAGAGGGACTGCAAGACAAGGTAATATGGACATTGCAGAAGGAGCTACCACCTCACTGTCCATTTCCCATGGACTTTGATGATCACAGATGGGAACAGTAGAAATGAGGGTGGTTAACTGGGCCATTCTTCTCATCCATAATCTAGCCTATGTACCATGATTGTCATTCCTGTCTATGCCTGCCAGGCTCTGTGGAAATCATCCCTTGACATTAAGATTTAGATGGGATCACATGCTGGCATCCTGCAATCCTGGTCTGTTTCTTTCATCTTGCTTGCCCAGTGTTTTAATAGGAAACATGGTTGTTGTTGTTATGTGCCATCAAGTCGGACCCAACTCATGCAACCCCTCCTTGGGTTTCTGAGGCAGTATCACTATAGAAGTAGATTGCCCCATCTTCTTTCCGAGGAGTGGCTGGTGGGTTTGAACCGCCAGCCTTCTGGTTAGCAGTCAAGTGCCTTAGGCACTATGCTACCAGAGCTCCTAGGAAACATGGTTAGGTAGGTCTTATGCTGGGTTATAATATAAATGCACTAGCATCTGTGGTTACAAATGACACTCTTCCACATATTTATGTTTACTCCATCTTTCTGCAGATCTAATAGATCTCACTATTTCAGTGAATACTGTGCACCATTAGCTGCTATAAAGGAGGACTGCAGAAATTTGAGAGCCAGGGGATAACTTATGATATAGCCTGGGTAATAAAAAAGTAGTAAATGCAACACATCCTGCCACCATCCATTGTTTACATACCAAGTCCATCTGGAAAAACCAGAGTAACTCAAGAATAAAAGGGTATCATGAGAACAGTTTGCACAAGCAATGCTTACAGCATGAAGAAATACACATGATGAGTTCTGAACAGCCAAGCACCTGCTCACTGATGGTATACTTGAAAAAAAGTTCAACCATCACAAAGTGCACGTTTACTATTCAAATAGTACCTAGTATAAATATTTTAACACCTCAGGAATAACTTGTTCCAACAACTGATTCTCAAGTGTATTTAGCCATACAACTAAGTACGTTTAAATATCTTTTCCTTCCATCCAAAAAACTAAGAAGGAACTCACTATCTGGAAAAACCCATTTTTTTCTGCTAACCTCTTTTGGTGGAGAAAACCACAACAGCTAAGCTGGGTTTCAGATCAGTTCTTTTGAGTTAGAATATTCAGTCCAATTGCCTCCATTCCACATGAGCATTTACTACAGAAGTGGTCAGGGTGATGACTGCTCTGCAGTCAAAAACTATTCCTATCAGCAGTGGGTTAGCATGGTCTAGAGATTTTCCATCCAGAAAGAGCCACTAGTCTCACCTTTACCCCATTTTGCTCAACTGAGTTTTACTTTGGTTGCAGCTTTTCATTCTTAATAGAATTTACTCTATTTCTTCATCCATACTTACATCTGGTATAACTTATTTACACATTTTATTTATCTGAAAAGGTATGGACTACCAGTCAATTTTCAGGCAGTGCTCCTACAACCTCATAAGAAGTCATCTACCAAACGTTTAAGAGAAGTGCTGAACTCCATCTTCAAACATTTGGATGAAGTAGCAGCTGCAAGTATATTGGATGTAGGTTTGCAACTATAATAGCTGCATTTCTGTTAGTAAGCTCCACCTTTCTGTATGGGCAATATTTTCAAAAAATGGTATATGCTAGCCTATTACGAAAACCTGTATGTCACAAATGTTAATGGAAAACAAGATAAGGCAGGTGTGTGTATGTGTTGCAGGGGATGACAATGCAAGGCATAAATATGAAAAATTAAAGACATACAGGAACCTGTCATTTATACAACTAAAACACATTACTATGTCTTCTTTTATAGGCATCTGTGGAGATCCCTGGATTACAATTTAATAACCAAGATTATTTTCCTTATGTCTACTTCCACATTGACCTCAATCTTCTTGAATAGAAAAGTCAGCTGGCACTAAGCTTCCTTATCCATGCAAACCACCACAGATGCAGAGAATCGTTTAAATGCCCTATATAATTTAGGTTTTCAGAGAAATTGCTCACAGAGTTACATACAATTGTATTTATTTTTTTTAAGTTACAATAAAGAAATGCTCAGTCCTTTGAATTGTCTCTTCACATTATTCTAACATAATTCAGTGTTTATCATTTAACTTTTCATTTTTCTGTTTCACATAAATGTGGACTACCTGTAAATTGGAAACTTGCTGCTGTATTTCATGCCTTAATGAATATTTTATGAGAGTTTGAAAAATCTTGAGCTAATATTCTCAAATAACCACTAGTGATACTCCAAAAGACAAAACATCAGGCATTAAATGCAGTTCTCAAATGACAATCCATTGTCTTCCATACTATTTTTAAAATGATTTACATTTGCAAATGGAATTTTAAATTGTGGAACACATAAAATCTGTATTGTGGCAGGTATTCAGATGACATCATTTGAATCAAAAGGGTCATTTTGTCCTTTTAAAAAAGTTTATAAGGAGGGACATCACATTTTAATATTAATTTACTGGCTAAACATCAGACTCTGAGTTATGATATGGACACTAATTTCATACATCTGTTGGCATTGTCCAAAATATTTTGTTTTATTCTTTAATGGAAAAAGCCATTAATATTCAATTGAAGGAATCACATTAAAAAACACATATAAGAAATAGCCTCAAAGAACATTCAAGCAGCAGTTAAAGAGATGGAAAAAAATGTTTCAACAAACCATCAGTTGTCTCCAAAATATTATTTGACAGAATACAATCCAATTCACTAGCTACAACAATTCATAGAATTTTTCAATGTTTTCTTGAGATGCAAATGTTCACTGTTGCAGTGTTTTCAAATGACCGATCAAGTGCTACTTCTTGGTTAAAAAGGCCACTGGTAGATCCATCTGATTATTAAGAATGTTCCTTCACTGCTGGAAAAATCCGCTCCCAAGAAAAGAAAACTGAATTTTATGTTGTGCATCTCACAACTCATCTTTCCCTAAGTCATCAAGCTCCACATCACTGAGATCGATATCGTCTTCCACAGGAAGCTGTAAAAACAGAAAACCATCATGAACATGCACTGCAGGGTCTACCCCAGAACTGCATAGGTGAGGGACCCTGAAAGTTCAACTCTGCCTGTTACATAGATGGAAAAGCTGAGGGCACAGATGAAAAGCCATTTTAACATAGCACCTTGTTATTTCTTTAAAATTGAAAGCCATTCAAATTGTCCTTTTAAGACTCACACAAGAATAAATACAAATTGAAAAGCTATAAATTTTGCATTTTTCTAAGACAAAGTAAATGAATTCCAGGTTAAATGTTTCCTTTAGAGGTGATGGTTAGGAAAGCAATGTATTCATTGTTGAAATGAAGTATCTTGGGTGACTCTTGTCAAGAAAATTTAATGCCACAGCACTTTTTAATAGGATCAGAGTGAAAAGTCTTGAGAGAATGTTAAGAAAGATCCATGAGTTTATGCTAACATTTTAGCCTGCCAAGGCTTTGGGAAGTGAAAAAAAGATACAAAAACAAGCCTTAAACAGTCTACTCACCTCACCATCCTTGCCATCCCAAGGTTCTATTGTAGTTATTTTAGGGAAAGCTCCTCCTCCTACAGGTGCTGTAGATCCCCGGCCAAAAGAGAGCTCCCTTAGGGGAAAAAATTAACACGGTACACATCAGTTTATGATGGATGCAGAGGGGTGCTTACCCTCACTTTAAAAAAATAGTGATTTCTACTGTGTATGTAGAGCTATTTCACACCTCTAAGAATACTATATTCCTGAAAAATACCTCATAAACAATTATATTTTCATAAGAGGACAGTAATATAGCCAACTTTGATATTCTTGATTTAAGACTTGGCCTTTGATAAAGCCAGTTTCTGTGAATAATGTTTTAAATTAGCATAATTGTTTTGATAAAATACAAAGTACATAACAGCCATCCAAGTTGATCTAGAACATGGATAAAGCCAGTACTGATATATTTGATTAACAAAATTCTCAATGAACTTAAGACCTCAGAAAGGCTTTATGAAAGATAACTAGTTTCTTAAAACTAAATTCCTTTCCTTAGACTTAGTAGCAAGCATTTGAAACCAGCCCACAGATACCAGCAACTGCCTTCTCAATCATCTATAGATTATGGCAATTCTCTCACACCTCAAGCTTTAAAAAGGTATACCAAAAACAGTATGTTAAGTCTCAATACTTGTGGTATTACTAACATTTCACTGGGAAGATGTATGCCCCCTCCCCGGGGGACACTTGCCAGTGTCTGGAGACACTTATCATCATCACAATGGTGGTAGTGGTGGGCATCTATTTGGTAGAGACCAGGGATGCTGCTAAACATTCTACAATGTACAAGACAGCTCCCTCCACAGGAGAATTATCCAGCCCAAAATGTCAACAGTGCCAAGAAACCCTGATTGTGCAGTTGTCAGTTCTTTTCAGAAAGCAAGATGAAAAATACGCTCTAGAAACCCACTTCACCATTAGTCACTAAACTGCCAGTATTAGCACAGGATAGGATCCTGACTCACATACACTGTGTGGGCAGAAAAAGGTATTTAGTGTAGTACTCGTAGTATTTGATGCAGTTCTATCTAAAATTTTTGCCAGAATGGCTCAACTTACTATCAAAGCAAATCCAAGCTTACAAAGGAAACACAAATCCATGAGAGTAATAAAAAGATAGACAGTGGTTCTATTCTTACTAGTTTCATGTCCTTAATCAGGTCATTCATTAACTGCAAACATTAGCCTCTTCAGCTATAAAACACAGAGATGGATCTGCTACAGGACATTTGGTGGATAGTTTGGGGTTCCTTATTTAATGTCAGTAACAGTAGCAAACACAAAGATGCCAAACCTTCCTTTAAATAGGAACAAGAGTCTGAGAGGATTATGACTTCAGGGCAGAGTTAACCAAGTTTTTTCAATACTTCTATAAATGATGCTCCTCCACTCCCACTATTTTGTTTTTAGGGTTAAATGCTAACAGATACATCTACTGCTTAATAAGAGACTGGGCAAACATAGTCCCTGCTTTCAAAGAAACAGAATACCCACCAACTGATGTAAGATTCAAGTCCTTTCTTTACTTCTTGGTGCATAATACACAATTCCATACTTGTATTTATACTAGTGACCTGTGAGTCCTGGGTGGTGTAAGTAATGCACTTGCCTGCTACTGAAAGAATTGAAGGTCTGAGTCTACCCAGTGGGGCCTTGGAAGAAAAGCATGGTGATGTACTTCCAAACAAATGAGCTCTCAAAAGCCCAATGGAGCAATTTGCTCTGACACACATGGGACTGCCATGAGTCAGGATCAACTTAACAACTGGTGAACTAAGTGTTAATATGGTTTGCCTAAATATAGTAAGCAAATTCTCAAGAAGTCTAGATGACATTTTTCCAGGAGGGGTGCAGGAACAATTTATGCTGTTTTGGGCTGATCAAAGTTTTTAATTGCTGCCACACTAAAAATGTTAGTTTAGCCTCAAGGTTAACTGAATTCTTACTGGCTCTTTGAATAAGTACATATTTGCACTAATAGTATTTTTGTTGTTGTTGTTATGTGCCATCGAGTCGGACCCGACTCATAGCGACCCCTCCTTGGGTTG